GAGGGATTTTGCTATATGCTAGGTGACAAACGATGTCAGTAAAACATTGATAGGTCATTTTGACACTGAGAAAAGCGCTCCATTGCTCGTGGACACGGCTTATACAATTGACATATTGCAGTTCATTTTGTAGAGTTTACATCTTGATATAAAATTAATGACTAAGTTGAGACTAATCTTGGATTGAAAAATAAAAGATTATGGTATCAGATTCTCGTTCTGCGCTATCATATCACGAGATATGGGCCAGAATGTCTTGTACTGTGATGATCATCCAATACGAAGTCACCACAATGACTGTAACCCATTCATATTCCAGAGTTTTCATAAAAATGAAATTATTAGATTATTGAATACTTAATTTAATTTTATGGATTTTCTGGAATATATAAACCAATTAATATAAAGTGTCTCCCTCGCTAAGTTGTGGGTGTTGGGATTCAAACGAAAAACGTGACTCGAGAGCGGAAAGACTGAATAGCTTTCGTTTATATACGTTGTTCAGTTTGAAACTAGACATCACATTGCAACAAGTTTTATAGGTTTTATCAAAAGCAGTATTGGATACGGAACATGTATAGTTGCAGTATCTCAGTAATTGACAGGGCATTGGGTGTTAAATGACGAGGGAATCGTCATGGTTTGAAAAATACAGGCATCGAATGTCTCTCACCGGCTCTTTAACAGCTAATCAAATACTTCTAACAAATACACCATGTTTTTAAGAGACACTAAATTACCTGCATGTTAATATCATGATTTACTGAAGCGCTACTTAACAAGGGGGTCACATGGTTACAGGTTATACTTTGCTCGGTTAGTAGCGCATGCAGTTATGTAAATAACAGAGGAGTGTTTATGGTCTCACTAAATCACAGTAGAGTTTTTAACGGTGTGTACGGTACTCATTGAATATCATGATACAGGATTTCCAGCTGCTGTTGCCATGAAGCAAAAAAATTGCTAAAAAATGCTGCCCATCAAAGTCAAATTATACGTCAGTTTTTTTTTCACCTTTACAAAACTCTTTCTCTTCAAAAATCTTTCTTGGTAAATGAATTAAAGACATTCACTCTTATTTTTGTTTTCCAGTGTTTAAAAAGATATCTAACGATTCTAATAACAGAAGGCTGCGTGTCAATCATAACGTGCCCTGATGCTTCGTGCAAAGAACGAGGCAAATTACACAGTAATGAGGTAAGACTATTAAAATTGGAATCCTTTGACTACTTGAGATGATGTTCTAATCTGGAGAATGTAATAGAACCAAGGACAGA